GCTGGTTTTGGCCGCTGTCAGCAGACAGGATGGGTGACTAAAGAGAGGGGGCAGGAAGGTTTCTGATCCTGTTGACCCTCTCCGTGCCGACTTCTCAGACAATATATTTATATTTTAACTGGAGCCTTTAGATTGGGGCTAAAGGAGGGTCAGATAAAAGGATTAAAGGGACTCACGCTCGTGAAGTGCATCACAGAAAGACACGAACAAAACCCACAAGCCTGTAAATATTCATTATGAAAAACACTTGTCTGTTCTCTCTCTGCTCCTTTGATTCCCCCCCCCCTTTTTTTTCATTTCTGGCCTGCAACAAGCAATTGAAAGGGCTGCAGGCTTGATATCTTTCCCTTTCTGGTTGAGCTGCGGCAGTAATCAGATGTGAAAGCCTCAGATATTTTCATAAATCTGTTTTCCTGTTGCAAATCTCTTCTAATAATCACCCTTGCTCTGCTGATTATGGGTGGCTGGTATGCAGCAAATATTAGAAATCTACGCTGTGATGGTTAGTTGCATGAGTCACATGCTGTTTCAGGTCTCTGCTGACCAGGGTTCCCTCTAATTTTTTCCATACATGTGCAAAATAAAATTTGTATGAGCATCGAGGCATGTGCGTATGTGCACCACCAATAGAAACACATGCTGCCAACTGCTGCCAGCTGTGGGCATTTTGCTAATCAGCTGGCTGGCATTCAAATCTCTCCTTCCTCTGTGCACTGGATGGCAGAGTTGGACCAATGCAGAATAGGTACGTGCACGGTTTGGGGACTTCTCTTCTATTTTGGAAGGAGTTACTCTGGAGATGGGTGTTGAGACTAGATCATCCCTATGGTCCCTTCTTATCTTGGAGTCTATGAATCAATATTCTGTTATGATAGGTAATCCAGCATTACTATCCTGCACAGAGTAGGGGGCTTTCTATTGTCTGTGAATTTTATATATATAATTCCCCCCACTCTGGTTAGAAAATGTACTCGTTGGTTAGGTTCTACCTGCACTGTCAATGATCTTTCTAGTGTAAACTGCTACAATGTTATTTTTATGTGGTTTTTATAAGATGAACTGGATCTACAACAATTAAACATGCAGCATGAAAATATTAATGGTCAAATAATGTACTTGAAACTGCATTAAGTTTTCACACAGGGAAGACCGACAAGGATTAAGTTAAACAAGTGAAACATTCCCTTATCAGTTCGTTTTGTAACCTATTCAAAAAACCAATGCTGTAACTTATTTATTTTTAACAGTCTGCAGAAAGTTTTGGCCTTGGATTCTCTGGATGAAGTACTGGATACAAAGCTTGTGAACCCAAAGCACATCATACACAATGTGTACAATGTCAATAAACAGGGCGTTGTCATTTTGGAAGACAAAACAAGTGAGTATGCTGTAGGTTTTTAATGAGGATGTAAAAAGGTGGTTAAAAAGGTAACTTTTGTAACCACTGAAAGTCTTAGTGGCAGCTGATCAGTATCAGCAGCGGCTGACTTGGGGACACCTGGGGCAGAGCAGCTGGGGGGCTGCCTGGTTGGTTCAGTAGCGCCGAGGAGCGGCGCTGCAGGACCAACCAGGCAGCACCCCAACTGCTCTGCCCCAGGTGTCCCCAAGAGCAGCTGGGGTGCTGCCGGGGTGGGCCCGCCGCGCCAAGGGTCCGCGCTACCGGACCAACCCAGCAGCACTCCATC